GAGGTTGTGGTGGTGAAGAATGCTTTTGTCAGTCTCTTCTCTTCAATATGCATTGAGGACCAAGCCCTGTTGCAAAGTCATGTGTAGGTTAGGAAGGCAATGATGATGTGGTTTGTTTTCCTTTATGTAAATTAAAGAAGATCATAGTAGAATCCTGACTATAATAATCCTGTGATAGAAGAAATGTTGCCCTGATACGGAGGAGTTGTTTTTCAGGACAAGCTTTTAGTGTGTTTCTTCACTGCCCATATTCTTCCTTTGACCCTTCTCCTGTTACCGTCATATTATGGACTTGTCTGTCCTAGCCTTGGCGTCACCTAATAGCTTGCCAGAAATGTACTTAAGGCACAGACATAAGTGCTATTTATTAGCTATTTGAAACTGTTCAGAAAAAAATTAATCGCTTCAGTTTAGCCTGCCCCAGTAGTTTCACAATATGCTGCTCTCAGTGGTGAAGCCCCTACACTCTGCTGCTTCCTCAGCTATAAGCCTGGCCACAGGGCTGATACAGGATTCAAGACAGCCCTTGTGAAAGGATATACAAGCTACAAACATGTATTCGGCAGTCCAGTTACTGTGTGTTCCCGCAGGCGGCTGTGCCAAGGGTAGCTGAAGGGATATCTAAAAGGCAAGGCAGAAACTTTGGGGTGTGACTTTGCTCCTGAAGGCATTGGGCAGGGAGCCCACATAGGTCCCCCAGGTGTCTGGGGTTAGATGAGCTGGCAAGAATGGAGTGTGGACAGGGAGCCCCCTGCTCCTGTGATGCACCTCAGCTGGGGATAACGCCTGAACTGTGGCAGCTGTTGCCAGAGAATGGGGGTAGGCATATTGCCTTGCCCTGCTGTGTTTCACCTTGGCAGGGTAAGTCTATGCTAACAACAACAATCTGCCTTAAAATCCTTTTATCTGACCTGGCAGATGGCCAGTCTAGGGTTTTGCAGGGTGTTATAAAATTGAACTCCTTTGAACATGTTCCAAGAAAAACTTCTAGACTAATCCAATTATGCAGGGGTCTTGTTTCTGTGTGGTGTTAATTTTTGTCTTGTCTTGTTAGGCTCTGTCTTGTGCTAGAGTGCATTCAGATGCTTCTTTTACAAACCCTCCTTTGTGAGTTGTTTCCAGGCTCATATCATTAGGATAATGTATATTTGTCTGCAATTTGTTGCCTTAAGAGCAGTGAGACTGAAACTGTTTATAGACTCAATAGAGAGAACGTGTGTTAAGTGTTTCTGTTAAACAGGAAGACTTGGACTAATATTCTCTGTAGTATTTTTATTTGCACTCATTCTGCCTCCCCCCAAATAAGGCTGACCACATTAACCCAGCTCTCAAAGCACAGAAAAAACGTTGCAAACGAACAATCCAGGCACTTTTAGGAAACTGCTGTTTACCATGATTCTTGTACTTGGCTTACTTTTTCTAAAAAGCCATCTTGAAAGGTTTCAGCCCTTACTCCCGATTAATGTTTCGAATGTAACTGTAGCAGCTAGACAGTGAAAGAAGAATTTTTTCATACTTTTTTACACTAAAGCTAAGCCACAGCATCAGTTCTGTTGACCATGATTTGGAAACACTTGTTAGAAGTGGGTTGAGGTACTGTACTTGTAGGATACTGTGTTCTGCTGCCCTCTTTGGTGGTAGAATAAAATGGACTGTTGTCTGTAGTGCAGAGCTAAATCCCCTTCCCAACAAAGTCTCTTTAGAGTGATATGGCACTTGTAAAAATTCTAGCATCCCTCCTTCCCCCCTTGAAAAGCAGCTTTGTGTAATACTCTTTCAAAAAATGCCATTTAATCCTACTTACTTCTCAGGTGGACGGAAGTTTTCTCTTGATCTCTTCTAGTTGAATGTGAGTCAGTGGAAGAACAGTTTATGTTACTGTAATCTTTTTCATTATATAGGATCTGCTAATGATGTACTGAAACTCTTTTGAAGCCCAACTCTTTCTTTAATTGTACTGTTGAGTTTAGCTAAACAACCACAGTGCTTCTGCCAGTGTAGTCATTAGCGTTTGCCAGTTACTGCTCCCAGTTTGAGCTGATAAGCTATTGGTGTTTTTCTCACTATCGAAAGAGGGTTGTTGACGTGATAGTGTTGTCTCCTTACTTAATATTCTCCTTACCTGAATATTCCACTCTTGTTTCATATTTAGCTGGCTCTTCGAGATGCACTTCTGAAAAAGAGAAAACGGCTGCTGAAATAACAAAACAGTAATGGAGAGGAGTACTTAATCACCTCTGAAGAAATAGCCCTAGAAATGCCAATTTCCACCCACCACCACCCCAAAGGAAAAAAAGGGGCTGAAATGCCTTACGGATTTATCTCTATTCTGTTCAGAATTACAAATTGAACACTTGTAAGCTGTCGGATACCGCATCTGTAGGACAGACGGAAGAGGCCTTAATCCTTGCAGGATTTTTATTTTTTTGAAAGCACTCTAGGGAAGGCAGCCATTATCTTTTATTGAATATAACTTACAGCTGGTTTTGTATGCGTACGTATTAAAACATACAACCTTACTGTAAAAATACTTTACTTGAAGCAATTCATGAATAGGTAATTGGAAGGAAAAATAATATTCTGGCTCAGTCTATAAAGTGTGTGTATAATGTCTGTGCCTGTCTTAGGGATGGGATTTTACAGATTAAGCCATTTTCTAAGCAGCTGTATTTTATGCGTTTAATAATAATAAAACAAAATTCTTGTAGTCCAGGTAAGTTCAAGTGAATGGTTAGGGGATAGGACAGTTTCATTGTGGTTTATGAAGAAAAAAAGAATAAAATTAGTATATGGGCAATGGTTTTTATGTTGCCATTTAAATACAAAGGTAGCATCACATGCAGGAGAACTAAGGAATCTTTTTTTCCTGTATCAGTGCATCTTGTGGTGGGACTTGCTGGTGTCTGGTTTCTGAAGTATACATGAGAGTAACATAGATCTGTGGATTCTTTGTCAAAGGTTGAATTCTTGCTTCAGCCTTGACCTCTGCTGGGACCATTAAGGGGTTTTTTGTACCTTACCCTGCCACCTGTTTTAATGGAAACTTGAGGGAGTTATTTGTATCACCCTTTGTCAAATTCTGTTTGAAATGGATTTCCTTGTGGGGCAGAAACAGGTGCCACATGCACAGTATAATGGAAAAGCATTTGGTGAGGTGTTGTTTTCCTTTTTTCTTAGGAAACCAGGTTAACGTTTATATCCCACACGTGAATTCACTCAGCTTAGGTATGTGGTGTATTCAATGGAACAAACTGTGTTCACTTTAATTCCTATTATTTGTCTTGTTTGTGTATTTTTTGTTTTGTTGTCACACCTTGCTTCCTCAAGCAAAACAAAGCTGATAGGCTGCGGGGAGATAGAAGAACAAAGTAGAAACTTTCTACAACTTTGAATGTTACATTCAACTTCAGTGCTTGTGCTGAGGGAAGGGTAGGGATTGTGATGTGGAATGACAGCGATGAGCTGGCTAGGTGGAGGATACGTAGCTGGGAGCTGGAGAGGCAAATGGATGTGGATGAGCTGTAGTTAAGGGCAGATGGAGTGTGGAGCAGGGGCTGAAGAGACTATAGTAAGGGAAGGAGAGGGGGAGTAAAATACTTATATAAAACCTCCTTTCACTGTTTACTTTTTTCCCCTGTGTCCAAAAACTAATGACTTCTGAGGCGGAAAGTGAGAGGCAATTAAATTTTTGAAGTCCCTGAGTTTAGGACTAATGCCTAGTCTCCTCTCTTTCCTTTTCCCCCTTGTTCATAGCCTTGCACAGGGGTTCAGCAAATGGAGATTTATGCCTGATTTCTGTGAAGGGTGGAGCTGTCTCCTCTACCTTACTATCAAAAATGAGAGTTTTGGGCTGTCTTTTCTGATCTATTTCACAAGACACAGGTGCAATGAAACACCCAGCTTCACCCCCAGCTTTTCCCTCTTTTTTTTTTTTCGTTGTATTTTCATTACTCTGTCCATCATGTCCTACCTCGAGTCACTACCCAAACGGCAGCAGACGGGGTGGGCCGGTCGTGTGCTGCTGTAGGCGGGCTCCCCTGCTGTCACCGTGGGAGGAGGGCCGTGAGGAGATGCCCGCCGTTCGGCATCGTGGGGCCCGAGTGGACCG